CATTCTGTCTATGGAGTATGAATCTCTCTGAATAAATCCACTTTTACTCAACTATGACTCACTCTTGAATTCTTTCCTGTGAGAAGCCAAGGACTCTCACCTGATGGGGTGCATCCCGGGGACTTGCCTGGGACCTGGGGACTGGCCATCCTCTGGAGCCCCATTTTTCCTGTATCACTACCACCCACGTCTTTTTCATGTGCTGCTACCTTCTGCCCATAAATGCACCTGTCCCAGATGTTCTGCTGGCAGGTCTCCTCCCCTCCTCCAAGCTGCTGCTCACGTGTTGTCCCTCAAGCCTTCCCTTATACCTTGTCTGACATATTTCCCACCTGCCACCAGCACTCTCTGCCCTGTTTTACTTTCCCTACAGCACCCAACACCTCCTCAGTTCATCTTTATTTGTGTTTGACCGTATCTCCCCACCAGAATATTAGCTCCCTGAGAACAGGACCTTTGTCTAGGGTGTCCGCAGCTGAATCCACAGTGTGTGAGGGGCATGTGGTGTGGACTCAGGCGATATGAATATTATGAGCAAGACTCCAGCTCCAGGGCACTGGGGGATGAAGAAAGGAGGAGGGAAGACCTCACTCAGGCAGGGAAGAAAGGAGCATGGGGGACAGAAGAGCCAGCCACTTTGTGGGAAGGACACCAGAGTCACTCGCCTGGTCTGTAACAAGGAGAGGAGGCCCTGGCCTTCCAGGTCAGACAGTCACACAGGGTTTGCTAGGGCCCATTTCACTCTCCTCTGTCTGCTGTATCTTTCAAGCCCACAGAAGGGCTGAGCTAATGACGAAGGACATATATGAACCAGAGCCTGGGACCACCAACCCTGTACAGGCCACGGATCTGCCACGAACAAATTATACCTCTTCTCTGGGTATTATTTTTAAATTTACAAGATGAAAGGATTTGTCTAGAAAATCTCAAATCAAAGTGTTTGCTTTTATTATGAAAAGGGATGTGAAATGCAAATTAACTCCAAGTCCCTTTAAGGATGCTACGCAGTGACACTGACGTCCCTGTCAGGGGCCTCTGAGGAAACCCCAGATCTGTGACTGTCCCTGGCGCTAGAGCCCTAGAGTGTCTGATTCACCGTGATGCTGGTGGCCTGGCTGATTCCAGAGATCAGCTCATTCCTGTGGCCTCTATAGCAGTGTGACAAGAGATTAGTGTTTCAGTAGGTGACAGTCAGAGGGACAAAGGGGCCATCCAGCCTCCCCCAGGAAAGCCAGTCTGGCAAACTCCACAGCCATCAGACACCCAGAAGCGTCAGCTTTCAGAGTCATCACCCTGCCCTCCTCTGGGGCCACCTTCCCCGCAGTGAGCACACACTCACTGCTACACCCTTCATATTGTTTCTGCTTCCCAATGGCCTCATCTCACAGCCACACACCTAGCCCTCAAGTGGACTCATCGAGGAAGAAAGCCAGAAAACTCATCTCGGGCTGGGCTAAAGTTGAACGTGAGCCCTGACAAGTCTGCTGAGGCGGGAGCCTCCCGGAGCCGTCTGGGATCAGCTGCCCCAGCAGGTCCCATCCTGCCAGGGAGCTCCGAGCCCCGGACCCCCTCTGCTGCAGCTCCCTGCTGTGTCCATCACACTGTGCTCTTCCTGAAGAGGTTTTCATGAGTTCAGAGCAGTCCTGGGTATTGGGGAGTTGAAATTATTTTTACCCATGTGCAGCTGAAATAGCCATCTGCCATCACACCGCCCAGTTCCCTGCTGTGTTTAAAATCCATCTGGAGTATTTTTTTTCAATTTTTCATATTAAAAAAAAATTCAGTGCCTTGGTGCAAAGGAAGGTGTTATGTCTTCATGTCTTTTCTGCCTGCGGTGGAGCCTGTCCTTGGGTAGAGGATAGATTTAGAGCTGCTCATCGCTTGTTCCAAGCCATATTGATTAATTATTGGTTCTTCCATGATCCTCCCTAATTCTAGAAATGTCTATCCTCCTATATCTAAGCATGTGCCATGCCGCCGCCTCCTCACGGAGACTTCCCGATTACTCCGGCCCTCACTTCCCTGACATCTCCCTGGCAGGAATGAACTGCTCCTTAGCAACAGTCCTTTATGTCCTTCTGCAGCCTCAGCTGGGTTGACTTTGAACCTCTCAGCTCTGTGACACTGGGCTTTGCCTCATGTTGAGCTAGCAGCTGCCGTGGAACTGGAAACGCCCTGAATAAAGTCTTGCGAGGTCCTGCAATGCCTTCTCTTCCTTCAGGGCTCCTCCGATCCTTCCATGAAGAGCTCAGAGGTTTCCCCACACTCAGATGCCTCTGTCAGTTAAATTGTCTAACTTCAGTGTAGCGCACATGCTCTTCCTGCTTCGTCAAAGCTCTCCACAGGCGCTAGAGTGTGGAGATAGGATCTCACACCCCATCACCTACGTAATGAACAGCTCAGGGGCGATGCGCAATGAGAGATCTTGATTTAAATTAAGATGGAACCATTCAATTAATAGACATCTGCTAGAATGCTGATAAGTGCCAGGCCCCTCGGCATGTGCTGGGGACTGAGTCATGAAGAATCACAGTTCCTACCTTCAAAGAGCTCACAGTCTCATGGAGGGGAGAGACGGGAGGTGTGCCAACATTTCAATGTGATTTCAGAAAAGGAAGCAATAAACTTATTACAGGATTTACATTTTTTGTTGTTTTTGATGTTAGAACTTGAAGTTTCAGGAATAGGATGCACGAAGGCACAGAAAGAGGAAGCCTCTGGTGGATTCAGGGAGCAGCTGTGGTTCTGGGTGGCTGGGGCAGTGCTGAGCGGTTGGCCTGGAAAAGCAGGAGGGCAGAGAACCCCACCCTGCTCAGCTACAGACTCCCACTCCAGCTTTCTCTGGTCATTTCTTCCAACTGCAATGTGTGCAGTTATCTATGGAAATGCCTCTTCGGTAACAAGGCCTATGCCTTTGTCCTCGTCTACAAAGTATTTAATTTAAATAGTCCATTTCCATCTTTCTGTGGGTTTGGTGTAGTTGATCAAGCTCCCCTCAATTGCTCTCAGTCCAGTGATACGTCCTTGAAAAAATAAAGACGCATCTGGAAAAACACTTGTAAACTAGGCCTCCTGAGATATATCCGTCTGCCTCCTCCACGACTTTGGACAACTTCTTTAACTCCTCTGAGCCTCAGTCTTTTCACCTGAAAAAACGGGAAATAACACCGGACCCACCTACTTTATTGGGTGGGTATGAAGCTCAACTGTAACAATAGAGGCAAAAAAAAGTCCCGAAACGCATCAAACTCAGCGCGGACACCAGGGCTTACTACCCTGATGGAAGGAGCCAGCCGAGCTTTCCTCTCACAAGGACTCCTTTGCCAGGCTGTGCAAACTTCAGGGAGGTCCCTTGGTCTCCCATAGCAACCCGCCTGATCATCCCGCTGGCATTTTTGCCTCCACATAAGGTGGCGCTTGCTCATTAGGCATAACAAATTACCCACGCTCCACTGGGGCAGAGATGGAAAGCTGCGAGGCGGAATAGATCTCTTTCCCTCTGCTCCCTCCCCTTTCCTTTTCATGTTCACAAGTGTCTCTGCAACAAGCTGTCTCCTGTCTGGGGAAGGTAGAGCGGAGCCTGCACGGAAGTGGTGCACGGGATTTGGGAAGGCAGCTGCTCCAGCCTTCTTCTCAGATGCTTCCCACAGCTTGGCTGGCTCTGGCCCTGCCGTGCTTGTAGCACATCTGAATGTCTGTTGTTTGCATAAATTGTAAGCCCAACGCATCATAGCCCTTCATCCAAGGCACCTGAGTTTATTGGCTCCAGGTATCCATGGAGGATAGAGCGTCCATGGACCAGAAGCCAAGTTCCTATTTCTTTACCTGCTCCAATCGAGAGGATGGTAAAGGAGCCTTTGGTGGTCACATTTCCAGCCCTTGGTCCATTTTACTTCCACTCAAGCTGCAACACATCCCAGAATCCTGGCTGTGAAGCCCAGGGAATTGACAGTGTAGGAAGAAAGACGGGGACGAGGCAGAACTCTGTCAGTATTGCAGCACTCATCAGAAGGCTGCTCCCTCTCCTCTCCCTGGGGTCCCTTCTCACCTTCTTCTGGGTGCACAGGCATTTACAATTCCCACTGCAGGTGCCCCAGCATGCCATCCGGGCCGGTCCTCAGAGTCCAGGGCCCTAGCTCCATCTAGGTCGTCATCTAGAGGTCAAAGGATCACCAAGTGATGAGGCTGGAGACCTGTGTTTTCCTTCTGGGTTAAGTGACATCCTCCATCCAAGCTCCAGCTTGTGTTCAGTGAGGACCCTGGGTCAGGGTGATCTGATTCCATCTAGCTCTCAGGTTGGTGATCTTTCTATTTGCTTCCCCTACTACTCTTCTTTTCCTATCGAAAATAATGTCTCCTGTGGTCATTTCCCTTGGCACCTTGTCCATCACTGAAGGAAATCTTGTTCACATGCTTTTGGGAGAAGCTAATAGGGGTCACAAGGGGTCCCTGTGGCAGCCTCAGCCCCTTCCTCTCACCCTGTCCCCAGCCCTGAGCCCAGGATGACAGCTCAGCACACGTCAGGCCAGCTTCCTCCTTTCTGAGAGTGCCCCGAGATGCCTGTCTCTGCGCCCACTACTCTCCTGGACCATCAGCTCTGGTTGTTTTGACTTTGACGAGCCCGCCACCCACAAATGGGTTCCAGAGTTTCCTGACACCTGTCATCAAGTTGGCACCAGGCTGAGCCCTTGGGAGGTTCTCAATCACAACATTTGGAATAATTGATTAGTCAGAAAAGACTCCAGTTTCTGGGTCACGAAGTTTTCTTTGAGTCCATTTTCCTACCTGCCCGGTCCCCTTTCAGTCTTGCTCTCCTCTGCTCACCCCAGGCCAACCCTTTTGCTCTTCCTTCTGGCCCCTGTAGACGTCCTCATTATCCATTTGCTGCATGGCCCTTCTGTTCTCCAAAGTTCTCTTCTACAAGCAGTATTCATGGGTCTGATCGATACATAGTGGATTTCAATTTTTTTCTTAATGAGAATCCCTCACAGTTATGTCTTTTACAGGGCACTTCCATGGAGGTCATCCTGTTTTATCATCTCATAGACATTATCATCCCCATTTTAAAGGTGAGTAAAGTGAGGGTCTAGGCTGTCACCAGGAGGCCTACAAGGAACAGGGTGGGGAATCAAAGGCAGTCCCTGCGTTCCAAGCAAAAGCTCTCTCAGCTGCAACAAAGGCTGTGAAACTCAAGCGTCTGTGGAGGCAACTCCCATTGCCTGGCTTACTGTGTTCTAGAGCAGCTTGCTTCCCATCCCACAGCTCTTCCTTCACTGAAGATACCCAAGGAGTCAGGAAGAAATTGCTGCAGGATGAGACAGGCTAGGACGGGACTGGAGGCTTAGGGCATGGCACCTTTCAGGGACCCAAAGTCAGGCTGTAAGTGTCCCTGACAAATTCTCCCTGACAGTACATGCGACAGGTGGGGATCTGGTGCTCTAACGCTCAAAGCAAAGTGTCTCTAAACATGATGAAGACCAGAAAGAAACCCTTCTGCCTCTTAAGCTATAATCAATAGTGACTTTTCCTTTCTTTGTCCTTTTACTTAGCTCAGATGGCAATAGTCTTGGCTTTGTGACTATATGAGTTGGATGTTCTGACAGCTGCCTCTACCTAGGACAGGAAACCCTGGAAGAATGGAATTCCAGGTGCATCTTGCTTTGAAGACATCCAGAAGCTTCCAGGAGAAAATATACAATTAATAGCTATCACTGAGTGATTAACAATATGTGTCAGGCACTGTGCGAAGCATTTGCATAGACTATCTCATTTTCATCTCCATCACAACCTCATGAGATAGGTTCTATTAACATTCCTATTATACAGATGAGGAACCTGAGTCACAGATGTTTAAGTAATGTGCCCAAAGTCAAGAACTAGCCAATGGGGGGTTTAAAATCATTCTGGCTTCAGAGCCAGACTTAACTATTATGCTCTCTGGCCCTTCAGGGCTCAGACAAGGTTCTTTTGTAACAGAACCTGTCCACAAGCTTCTTTTCCCTGGCAAGAATGCTCCTATTCCAGGGCTGTTGACTGCTGCAGCCAGAGGTAAAGAGAAGTAAAAACATAGCCCTGTGCTTTTAGAGGCTCGGTTTGACTGCTTCATCATAATTCGATTCAATTCGCTTCTGTTCCCATGTGTGCGACACGTGTGTGTCAGCCAGTTTTCTCTGCCCTGGGGATTCTCAAATGAGGCTGAGTCAATCCAGAAAGAATTTTTCAAGAGCTTTAAAAGTCTGGCTAATCTGATTCAGCAATTCTTTCTCTAGGAGCTTACTCTAAGAACATTATCTCAAATGTGTGGGAATATTAGCTATGAAGAAGGTCCTCTTTGTTTATGAAATAGTAAGGGACAATAAAAGTGTCTCAGGCCGACAGGTGCTAGATGTGGCTAATCACAGGCATCACAGGCTGGCTCTAGTGACATATTGACCATGTGGGCGGAGACCAGGCAGGCAGGAGTGAAACCAGTCAGTACGGTTTCTTTAGTTCTATGAGGAATACATCAAAGACACCTAAGACTTGTCTCAATCATACTTTTTACAGTGTGCCTAGGCCAAAATAAATGGCTCATGGTTACGTATTTAACGTTAAGCCCAAACTAGTTAGCATTTAGGCCCTAACAACTTAGCAGCTGTTTGAAAAAAAATATTACATGCAAATTGAAATAAAAAATAGTATCTATGTTTTATTCTTAAATAATCATAATTATTTACTAAAGGGATGCTTGTATCTGTTGTGCAATGTACAATTAGTCAAACTTTGAAGTCAGATTGGATACCGCCGTCCTTGTTTCCTCTTCCACACTGATTTTTGTATGGTATTTTCTTTTTAACACAGCAACCAATGAAAACCCAGGTTTGCCAAGATTCGGCAATGTCATATATGGTGTGATCTACTGTTGAAATTTGAACTCCCTCAGGCTGGCGATTTGCATGGTATCTGACAGTGTTGAGTATCCTGATGTGTTCCTGGATAATTAAAAATATCCCTCAGTGCCCTTGTGGGTTCCCTGTGGAACCCTGGAGTTCCTTGGCACACAGTCTGGGGACTGCAGAAATATATTCTCTTCCATTTTGTTGAAACAAACTGTCTTCTTCATTTGCCCCTTTTGGTCTAGCTTTTGATTGACATGTGCGAAATATTTCTCTTCTCTCTTGACTATAGCAAAAGATAACCAGCCTGAGAGCATGATGAATAGCAACTGGCCCTCAGCCTCAGTTCCAGGGAGGCTGGGGCACAAGCTCTATCTAAAGAGGGCAGCTTCATCTCAGCTCCATCCATAAAGCCTGATGGAAATGAGGTGTCAACATGTTTTAAAGGAAAGCAGAAAATACAGACTATTTATGTGAAGTCTCCCAATATTCGGATATTAGCAACTAATTCTAACATATTATTTGTAAATATTGGGTAGGTCAGTACTATGCTACCCTGAACAAAATCAGGTCTACAGGTGGCGTTTTGCTTGAGAGTCACCAGCTTGGGACACGTTATTATGTAACTACTAAGAATGACGTTATTGCTAATCACAAGGACATATGTTCATGATCTATTTAGTAAAAAAGAGGTAACTAACAAAAATCATGATGCCTTTCTTGACCATCATCAAAAAGTCTACAAATAATAAATGCTGGAGAGGATGCAGAGAAAAGGGAATCCTTCTACACTGTTGGTGGGAATATAAATTAGTGCAGCCACTATGGAGGACTGTATGGAGATTCCTTAAAAAGCTAAAAACAGAATTAGCATGTCATCCAGCAGTCCCACTCCTGGACATACATCCAGAAAAAGACAAAAACTCTCAATTTGAAAAGATGCATGCATCTCAATGTTCATAGCAGCACTATTTGCAATAGACAAGACATGGACGCAACCTAATTGTCCATCAACGGATGAATGAAAAAAGAAGATGTGGTACATATATATACAATGGGATATTACTCAGCCATAAAGAAGAATGAAATAATGCCATTTGCAGCAACAGGGATGGACCTAGAGATTATCAAAGTCAGTGAAGTAAGTCAATCAGAGAAAGACAAATATCATATGACATCACTTGTATTTGGAATCTAAAAAAATGATACAAATGAACTTATTTGCAAAACAGAATAGGCTCACAGATATAGAAAACAAATTTATGGTAACCAAAGGGGAAAGATGGCGGAGGGATAACTTAGGAGTTTCGAATTAACAGATACACATTGCTATATATAAAATAGATAAGCAACAAGGTCCTACAGCAGAGCACAGGGAACTATGTTCAATATCTTGTAATAACCTATAATGAAAAAGAATCTGAAAAAGAATA